TAATATTGTAATTTTTTCGGAATATTTATAAAAAAAGTTATAAGTAGTTATTACTTTTATGACAAATCTGTATAAAAATTAAAGGGCTTGATACAACAATTTTTAGAAAATAATTTGTTGTCATAATATTATAATATTATATCATAAAGGCAAGTTATTTAAGTCGTTAAGTTAATTCAAAATATCAAATAAATTTTATTATTATTATATTATTTTAAAAATAATTTAAATTTATTGTTCATTTAGAAATAGTATTTAATTTTAATCATAAAGACAAATTGGAGGGTTTAGTCCCACCAATATTTCAAAAAAACATGTATATTATTATGTAAAAAAAAAAGTTTATAGAAGGGTAAATTTAATGTAATAAGTCCCTCCACAAATTTTATTGAAATTGTGATTTTAATCTATTATTATATTACAGCTATTGCGGTCTAGTCGATTGAGCGACACTTACAGTACAGGAACCGAGACTAGGTCAAAAGTCTATCAGTTTGTTGTGCAAGAGATCAGTTAGTAAATGGAATACTATCTATATAACAATCTTCCCAACAACGGACTCGCCTCCGTCCGGAATATATTCCATTAAAAAACCTTGTTTTCGTAAAAGGCAACAATATGAGCAAAAATAAATGCTTGCAATTATAATTTTACACAAATATTATCAATATTTTGTTCAAACATTTTATAGGATCATTTAAATGTTTTAATTACCTTCAAAATAGTTTTTAAATTGATCTAAAAACATTATTATGTAAAAGAAGTTAAATTTTAGTCTTAATGTGTTTTTAATGAAAATCATATTTAATTAAATGTTTACATATGTGTATTAACAATACCGATCAAATGATCATAGAAAATCATAGAGGATCATAAAAGAATCTATTACCATTACTACCCATCCATAAAATATAATTTTAATTGCAAAATACGGTCATCATGGATACAATAATGATAGGCGTAATCTAAGAGGTCTAATAGAGGTTTCGCTCCCCAAAAAAATTACATGTTCATTTCCATGAAAATATTTTTAAGGAGGAGAAAAATTATGTTTGTCCCCAAACATTTTGTTCAACTTACGTCTCTGACAGTAATACGTTCAGGTATATAAAATCTGATTATTATGAAACTCACAAAACTTCTAATACAATGTATCCTTAATTGTTTACTAATAACAATTATATATCACCAGTAATTTTAAGTTAAAACCCATAATTTAAATTAATAGTGCATAGGTAGTTGTTTTTGGGCCCCTATTTTATAATAGGCACCGACAAATACTTGGAACTTGCCAGTTACTCGCGTGATTAGATATCCTAATTTTTATCGACTGCGAACACTACGATAAGAACATTAAAATGAATTGATTATAATTATACAATGGCTGATAACTTATACCCTTTTTCATCTACGTTCAATGAAAAAAATAAGCAATAATTTTTTTTATATTTTAATTCCAATCGACGTGATATATAATAATCTGGAAAAATATTTACAATCTAGAATTTAAGAAGCGTATTGACCAATTTTTTATTTTTTGAGAGAGTAAAATTAAATTTTCATTTTTCATTTAAGCTTATGAAAAAATGTTAGTTATTCTTTAAAAAATATTTTATATATAATGTACATTATTTGAAAAAACTAATAATCGAAAAATTCCAATTTTGGTTGATACGTTCCTTTAATTCAATTTACCTTCGATATGCAGTATACAAAAATAATTTAAAATCACTTTTCATTATAACTAACTCTTTTAAGTTAGTTTTTATTAAAGGTTCACGTTTATGTTTATAATAATGCTTTCATTTCATATAAGAGAAATATTAGTATATCAATAAAAAATTACTTAAAATTTTAACAAAAAAATTGAAACCTTGTGAGTCACTTGAATGCCGTTAAGGTCTTAAGTCGATTCGGTGGGTAATACGAGTGACAAAACAAAGCCCATAGAAAGAAAACAGAGTATTGAAAACAATACACATACCAATGACGAGGCTCAAGGTTCGACACCGTCGTTTTATTGTTATTTGAAGCCGTCAAAATATTATATGACCATTCCAATTATTTCTATATGGTGTACAAATATTCATCAGACACGGTTTGTTTTTTATAAATTTATATATTCTTAACATGGATCGCTGTATTGTATGATCAAGCAAATCTGTTCTTGAAACAAGCGAATTATTTTTTTTTGTAGCTTTTGTAGTAATCTAGAATTTTACTATGTCACATAAAATTAAAATTATTTAATATTTTACCAAGATTAAATTTTAACAGAGAATCCTATCTGAATAATATGATTGATTTACATCACACTCGTTTTGTCCTTTATTATTACCAGGTTTAAATTATTTTACATAAATAGCTTCGAAAACAAAGGCTTTCATTTTTAAACCTGCGGTTGATTCATTTGTCGACCACCAAGTACTTACAGTAATACTTTAATTAACGATGGAATTGGTTGTCTCTTGTATAATATGCGTTATAATACATTCGGACACACACGGCTATTAATATACACCTCAATACTATGTTAAAGAACAATTGAATAAAAAGCAGATTAAAAAATTAATATGTTTTCAGACATCTTTTTTGTCTCGTTTTAAGTCCACGGCACATTTTGATTGAACGCGTGAGACAAAGTGATTACATTTTTAATAATTACAATTGAGAACCAATGAGTAATCATTACGTAATCATTATGCTGTTGTTTAGTGGATCACTTGATGTTATATTTCAAATATAAACTTATACAAGCAGGCGTTTGAAAATTTATCACACAACTACATTCATATTTATCACGTTTCTTATTGTAAATTAATAATTTTCCTTTTGATTTAAAAAATTATTCATTTTTTTAACACAATAATAAAAACAAATAAAATATTGTTCCAATTTTCATTATATTTTTGTTTCATCACATACATTTTATAAATATACATAAAAAAATCATTACGTGTGCATTTATATAATTTATTATTTACACACACGATCACAAAGGGTACACAAACACACAGTACAAATATTACACTTATAAATGTCGAACATTATTGTACACATAGTTATTAGCATATGTATTATATGTATATTTTTATTTAAGATTCATTAATTATACAATTTGCAAATATATTGTTACATGCATTACAAAGTTATTACATAATTTTTTGTTGGTTTTTATTAGTTTAAAGAAATAAATATAATATTTCAACTGTTGATGTTATTATAAAATCATATTCCATTGGGCTAGACAAAAGGGTAATTTGATTAAACATTAGTGTATGCATTTGTTTCTTATGTTCTATATAGGAACCTAATTAAAATAGAACTTGAAAATTACAATGATACAAATGCCATAAACACGATTTTACACATACTAATATTATAGAGATATGACAGTCGAAATGTTGCACGGTTATTGAAATTCTGGAGGAACAGTTACACAATATAAAAAAATAGCAAGGATTTTCTACATTTGTAGAAATTGCATTCGTACACGACAAACAAAATTAATTGTAAAGGCATTAAATGATAAATGTCTTTTCAGGATGTATACATTTAGTCTTATTAAGTAGTTTCATCGAATATTATACTAGAAAACATTTAATCTAAATCATAGTAATTATTAACTTTAAAAAATTAACATTAAAAGTTTACATATTTTATTTTTAATGGTTCAAAATTAAAAAAAAAAAAAATTAATTGTAGGAAAATACTTATTTAATTTACGTGCAACACTCATATAATTTTGATTGTATAAAGCACATAAAAACCAAAAATAAACTTTTAATAAATATAAATAAATCATTATTCCATGCTTGTTAAGTTTTTCAATATTACTGTTAGAGGTATTTTCTCATTCAAGTATATTTTAATAAATACCAATGTGTACATCTTGTATGTATTTGATTATTAAAGCCATTTTTCTAACAACTTTGAATTATTTTTTTAAGTATAAATCNTACATCTTGTATGTATTTGATTATTAAAGCCATTTTTCTAACAACTTTGAATTATTTTTTTAAGTATAAATCACAATAAAAACACTATTTTACGGAATATAATAAAAATTTGATAAATAAAATAAAAATAAAACAAAGCATAAAACTAAAATGAGGACTAGGCAGTATAATACAAAATATACAATTAAAATGTAATAACAAAGTCAACAAAAAATAATATATATTTATTTATATATATATGTACACGAATAACATGTAGTACTTTTGTTAAAAAAGCTAAATAATAATTCACAATCTATGTGCAAATAAAAATTTGTTGATGATACAAAATATTTATTTATTTTTCTATGATTATTTTTATGAAAATACATGATAATACTGCTTACACAAAATGGCCTTTGTGTTGGAATGATTTATATATATAAATATTTATATAAAATGAGTAAGTATAATGTATAAAAATTTAGTTGTATAAAATGGTAATTGGATAAATTAAGTAATTAAGTATAATATTTTACATTGGGTTTAGTCAGAATAGGTTTGGGAGCAACAACTGAATACAAGACAAAAAATTAATATACACTAATTTGACAAAAAAAATGTACATACATAAATTAAACTCAGTCTTATAGAATAGGTTGAAACATATTAATTAATAAATAAAAGTACACAAATAAGAGAAAAAGTATGGTAGAAATCTGGACGGATATTCAAAAATATAAAAATTTCAATTAAATTTGAAGTAGTATTAAAAATCAACAGAAAAATTGGTTTGGGATTTAATTTCTAAAAGCTTTTATGATTTTGTAATATAACTGTAAAGGAAATGCATATAATGAAATATAATATTGGTAACATCTTTTTGGCAAGAACTATATGCAATGGATATGTTATTATAATTATTTCATTCCTATATTTGAGTGAGATTTTTTTTTAAATAATATATATCTAAATTTCTTATTTCTACCATTTCATAAAAATTTGGCTTAACTATAGTTGTGTTTTTTTATAAATTAATACACATAAGTATTTTCTTAAAAATATTACTGTACTACATACATACCACAATTTATATAAAATTCTATAAAAGTAGCAAACCCCAAAGACCCATTAATACTCGTTATTGAGCAAAATCTATCTAAAATTGGTTTTGATTATTGGACCCCTCACTTGTCAACCATCATGAAATTGTGCACCTGTTCAAGTTTGTAAGCTAACCTTTGTTTTTGTGAAAATTCATCTTCTTCCAGAGTGACCATTAATTGTTCATTATACTTGGCAGCATACATATACAACTCATACAAGGCGCAATTAGTGTTGAATTCTGTCATGTGAATTCTAGACTCTTCAGCAAGCATAGCATTCATATCCTGATCTGATATGGCTGACATCATTTTGATGTCAGTATAATAACGTTCTACCCAATCTTTGTACAATGGTATATCCTTTGCATAAAGTAATTTAGAACTAGGTGAATCCTTGCCTAATCGGTGATCTGATGTTGAACAAGAATCCATGAATGTTTGAGCGACAACTGATAAACAAGAATCCACAATATTAGACTTGTGTATATCAAAAACAAAATTTGGATTTTTTATAAGGTTTACCCAAAACCTTAAAGGTAGGCTATTGCTTTTCCAAGTGTGCACTACCTCATGATCAGTGATACCATGCTGAATTGCTTGGTCATCAAGAAAGTCAAACATATACTTAATGGCCAAAGGCAAAGCACTTCCACGATGTGCTGTACTGAATATAGTTTCAAATAGGTCATCCACAAACTTTTGGAGTGTACCTTTTGTAGCTAGTAACCGAGTAAGATAAATTTCTGAAACCATCTTGTTACCACGCTCACCTTCTTTTTGGGCATCATTATCATGATGTTTTACTAGATGCCAACTTTTAAGTCCACCATCTTGATCATTGTTCAAAGGTGATGTAGCTCTACTATATGGTGGACTATCATAGTTGAATTTAGTAAGATTTAGTGTTTCATATTTATGTTTATCCATTCTGTCAGATAAAATTGATAAGTTGTAGGTTGACATTTGTTTAACTGATACTAGATTTAGATATGCACCATCTGGCACCATATAATGGCGTAAGGTGTTGCGTTTTTTCCATTCACCTTCGACTTTAGTTGTTGAATCTTCATCGTAGAGTATAAGGCGGCCTGATGTACCAGTTCTCCATTCAACATCAAGTTCACATGTTCTTGGACGCTGACTGCACGGCATTGCTCTATAAATAGTATCTAAAGCTTTTTCTTTAACTTGAGAAATTGTGTCACAGTCTAACACTTTAACAGGAATATTTTCAGTATTGGGATCTAGACCAGTAACAAATGCAGTCTGTTGTGAAATTGAAACATACACAGTCATTGGATAGAAGTCAATTGATTGTCGAATGAGTTTTTCTTCACTTAATGAATATCGAGCTTCAGATGTAATAGCATCTACAGGACCCTTGTCCACTTGTTGTTTCATTGCTCTAAACAGAAGGTATAGTGGCTCTCCAGCACATTCTCTTAAGAACTTATATAATAAAAATGTAAACCATGATGACAACATTTTTTCAGCAACACTTTCAGTTCTCCGAAGCAATAATTTAGGATGACTGTTACCTTCCATGCATTTCTCGATTAACTCAGCCAATAATGTCTTTAATATATCAGTACAATACTCCATTTTACTTTGTAAAGAAACCATAATTAATGAAGCAACATTAACTCGATCACGCATTGAAAAATAACGGTTACTTTCTAAAGTTCTTATGAATAATAACAAAAATGTTTTATTAAGTATTAGTTGTCCAAAAAGCCTAATTCCCTTTTCTTTTCTAATTAATTCAGGTTTTTCACGTTGTAATACACCATGGTCTTCCATATTTGGAAATAAGATTTTCATTGAATATGTACGGTAGTCTAAGAATGGAATACCTCCAGAGGTGAGATCACCAGCAATATCAGTAATTTCAGTTTGTAATTCAGCAAAAGCTTCTTTACATTCAGCAGCTACACGTAATTCTAAAATATCCATTTGTTCTTGCATATTTTTTAAGACTCTACTGCTCTCAGTTGATTTACGTCTATATGCTATTAAGAAAGCAATGAAAATAATACATATTATAATCATACCAACTATGCCCCCAAATAAGGCTGGTTTTGTTAAAGGACTGTTGATACTTGATGGTGCATAACTAAGTTTTCCAATATTAAATTTTAAGCTAGAACCAACTAAGACAATAACATCAGGTAATTCTTGACTACCAGTTAAACGATTATCTTCAATTTTAGCTAAAGGTTGAGTAGCAGGAGGTCGGCATGTAAGCTGGTGACGAGATAGAGATGTTACATTACAATAGCTTGTGCCAATCTGTACTATAACATCTGTTTCTTGACATGCTCTATCTAAATGATGACCATTAATTGTAAGATAGTCACTTTTATAAAACTTAATGTCTTCATCAAACTTAGTGTATACTGGATCAGGAAATAGCATGAACTTAGAATAACCTCTTTTTGATGATATATTTTGAACATTAATGACATTATCCATTTCAAAACCATAGTCTAATTCTAATGGTTTATCTGGATCAGGTTGATTTCGTTGTAGTGGTACTACTTTAGGTGATTCACATATTAAATTAGAATTGCTAAGTACAAGACAATCGCCAAAATATTTAGTATTCATGTAATAAACATAAATACGTGGAGTCTGGACAAAAGCAAAATTCTTACCAGCTACTGACACTTTAATACCACCAGATACTATTCCTTTGGGAACTTTAACTTGACCAGGAGTTCCTGACTCTACTGTTTCTATACTAGGATCATCTGTATACTCATATGTTTGTAGATCAAATGCTCTATAGGAGTTGTCAAATAGCATACTAATTTTTCCTACTTTTTGTTCATCTGTAGCACTAGTCACACATGTTGTTTCTGTCAGAGTACTATTAATGACAACACAAGGTAGATTTCTTTCAAAAAATACTTGTATATTGCTTCCAGCATTCATAAATTTACCAAAAATCTTTAGAGTTGTTCCACCAGATTTTGGGCCGTAACCTGGGTGTAAACCAGTAATTATAGGATCTACAAAATGATAATTTGTTTTAGATTCACCCCGATAACCTTCAACTTGCACAACAATTGGTCCTTCTCTTCTATCTTCATTGCCAGGACCATCTACTCGACACACAATTTTCCTTGTCATTTCATATAAATGACGATATGGTTGGCAGCGCAGTCCAGCTACAGTGACACCACTATAAATGTCTTCAAAATTTTTACCTAAATTTTTTCCTAAAATTGTTATATTTGTGTCACCTTCCCATGGACCTGCAAGAGGCCAAAATGATGTTATATGCAAATTAGGACAAGTCTTATTACGATTAAGCCATATTCCAACTGCTCTATCACATTGATCCATAACTTCACAACTATGACTGGCTTGACACCATCCACATTTATATTTTTCTGGTAGAGCCAAACACATACCACAATCATCAGCCATGTCACTACATCGATAAATCACAACATGAATGTCATGAGGATTATCTAGTGGTTTAGATCCACCCCAAATTACTGCAAAAGTAGCTGTAATGTTTGGTAAATGTGAGTTATAACTGAACTCCATTGTTTCACAGTAAATAGTATCAGCAACCAAAGCAGCATTTACACTAGACACCCGACCTTCAATATTAAACTGGCATACAAACCGAGTTTGAGCAATAAACTGACCGATTATATGGACTTTCACTCTTACAGACTTTTTTATACCAGAAGGAATTAATATTTCTGTACTACCAGTATCTGATCCATTAATAGTTGGACAAAAAGATGGTCCACTCCTAAAACTAGGCCCTACACGGTTTACTCCAGTAACTAGAATATCATTTCTGCAGTTTTCAGCTGTATCATGAGTACATCTATGTGCTTCAGCACACCAATCACATGGAAAAGATGAATTTACACATTGAGTACAAGATGTATAAGTACTACAATCAAAAAATGTAAAATTTGTAGCGACAAAGTCTGGACCAGTAGCTGTTCTGACAGAAAGCTTTGTAGTGAAATGATGTTGATTTGATGGAATAAAAGGTAGTAAATCAGTACGTGGAGTTGTGCAATTTACACCAAATGATTTTCTTGTAGCATTTGTAATTAAAACTTTATCAAATACAGAATAAGCACAATAAAAAGGTCCTTCAAGTAATGGAAGATTGTCTATCACAATTTCTAATGTTCTAGCTGTAGTTTTTTGAAGTTGACTTGGTGTGACTGAAGCAATGGTTGTACATTTACCACTTTTATATGGTATCCAATACAAAGGATCATTTGCAGCATCTTCACAGTTTGAGCGTAAACTACATTTGTTTTCTAATGAACACCACCCACAGTAAGGGTCTTTAACAGACAAACAATCCCAACAAGTACTATACATATGGCATTCTTGAACCTTAATCATTGAAACTCTGTTTTTAGTCATAGCATACAAGTGCATTTGTTGCTGATCAACTATAAGATCTGGATTAACAGGAGAGTTTTGTTGAATGACTATATCACCATATTCAATAGCCTTAATAGAACTTTCTACAACAATTTTTTTAACATGGCCAGTGTTAGTACCAACAAACACTACAGTAAAATCACCAGTAGATGTTGCAGTGACAGCAGTGAGACGAGAATCAAATGTCAGTACAGGTACTGCTGTCATAGGTGATTCTCCTCCTAAAGGAGTATTTACGTCCATACCACAAAAGTCTTCAGTAATTGCTTGAAGTTTTGTTGTTATGCAAGGATGACTAGGTGATATAAAATCCAGACCTCTATTTCCTTTACCACTAAAACATGTATTTATATTTTGTAAAAATTTCCGTCTGATAGCTTTAAGTGAATAAATACACAATGCACTTTGGTCGTTAGGTACACTTTTTAATTCACTATCATTTGCATTGCTTCCAGAAAATACAGCAAACAGTACATCATCTTGTGGTGTTATGCCAAGATCTTTAGCTAAGTCTGAACCGATTTTACCAACATAGCCAGCTTGAACTAAATTGTATGATTGATCTTTACTAATACATTCTAATGGAATTTCTGTATATGAGTAATAATTTTTATCTTCATGACATAATCTCACTATCTTTGATATATAAGGTGATGGTGATGCTGCTGTACGCATTTGAGTAGTTAAAAAGTAACTAAAACTTTCAGAACTAAAGCCATATACATAATTGATTAAGTATCGTTCTCGATTTAAAGTATTGACAAATACTCTTGTGCCAGAAATAACACCAACATGAGCAATACTTAACATATTTTCACTATCTAAACTTCTAGAGGCGATAGCTGGCACATCTGAACGGTAAGGGGAATTGCGAGTAAAAGTAACACCTATGTACATAACTTGAGTAACAGGTGGATTTGGAGGCCCTGGAGCTATGAAAGCTACAGTAGAAGCTTCAATATTATTGGCAACTACGGCTTCTTTTACTTGTTGAACTGTATCAGTTATATTATTTAAATTTCTAACAGTGCACATACCTTGTAAAACTGAACCACAAGTAATTATCCTAGATGTAGTATAATCAATAACAAGTACTTTGTTTACATTGTCAGTTAAATTTTTTATGGTTGTGTTAGGACACATATTGGCCCCACATTCAAATGAATCATCTATGGGGCCAGTAACCGCTCGATTGGTTACATTGAGATCTGGTGTAAGTTGGTAAATCCTGTTGATGGCACCAACAAATAACCTGCCAGTATTTTTGTCCACAACAAGATGATTAAATAGTGATGTTCCCTCATTATCTTCAAAAGTTTTGATTATATTGGAACTACCAGAAATAACATTTAGACAAGCTAAATAGAAAAGTATTACCCGGAGGTGGAAATGGGCGTTCTGCATTGTAAGACTTTTGGTTTCTCCAGCACATGGGACTATGGAAGACATATGGTTGTAGTTCAATACAAGGTTCTATTCCTGTAAAAAAAAAAAAAAATCTTTAAAATTACATTAATTTTTGGTATTTTTTATTAAGTTAAGTATTTAAAAATTACAGCCAACACATTTTTATCAAGATTCCTACGATTGAAGAGTATATTATAATTTCAAAAATTGCATTTGTTTTAGACTGCAATTTTTTTTTTTTTAATATATCAAAATTGTAATAACCAAATTTAATCATTATATATATAAATACAAGTACTATAACACATTTAATTATTTTGACAATTAGAGTTCAATATAGTTGTTTATATAAATATACAATAATTTTTAAAGATTTAGAATATCCCATATGTTTAGCAGTATTCCATTATAATAATTAACATACCATTTTCTAATGAGTAAATAATAGTTAAGAACAACAATTAGATAACAATGTGTTATATAACACAGTTTCTGATTTAACATTTCCTGATCATTTTTTTCAAAATATTTTAAAGATATATAATTATAAAACATTTATTGTGTCATCACTAAAGATGTGTTCTGTACCCATATTTCAAATAATTTACGGGTACCCAGCATTTTTAATTGATTTTTACTGTACAGAATTGTACTCAGTATTTTTACAGGCATTATATTAAAACATTAATATATCATATGAGAATATTTTAAATTATACTTAATAACCTTAGCCCAGTGCTTTCTTATTAGTATCACATCAACAATCATTTAAGTTTCAATCATTGAATAGATAAAATGCTAGTTATTTTACCTTTTGGGAATCAGAAAAATTATTTGTGTATACAGAGTGAGTCAAGATATGACAAATCCAATAACTTTTGATTCAATTATCATTTCTTTAAATTTTTTATTTTTAAATAATTATTGTCCCTTAAATCATGTTCAAATCATATTTTTTAATATTTATCACTAGTAAGAAAAAATAACTGTTATTTTTCATTATTTTCAAAATCTTGAAATACTCATTTTTGAGTTTTTATCTTGCAAAAAATGTGACGGGTTGATACAAATTTTAAGACAAGTATTTATTTTAATAAATAGAATGGTTATGTAGCGTGAGAGGGTACAGCTGTACTGGTGAAACACATACTCCACCTACGTTCCATACCCAATCTATGTATAAAAATAAATAACAATATATCCAACAAAATACAGAAACTCATAGTTTTTGATTGTTATCTAATTAAACTCAATAACTCTTTACAATAAAAATAAAATGTTATTTTTATATATTACATGTAATATATACAATATATGACCGTCAGAAGGGCAAAGCCACTGATGCAGTTGTTAGGTCCTCACTTTAAAAGACCTTATATGCATAAATGAAAATAAAAAAAAAATTTTTAATGATAAAAATTTTAATAATCAATAAAGGAAGACTTATGACCTTGTAATATTTTTTTTTACCTATTTAATTCTTGTAGTACTTCTGTAATCTTTATAATCATTACTTTTGTAACAATCCAAATGAAAAAATAAATAACTGTACTATATATATTAAATTTGTGATAAAAAGACATTTTAATCATATAATTTTTTGAAATTTAGTCTTATAATTAAAAATAAAATACATAATAGTTTTTACTTTAATTTCAATAGTTGTTTCAAAAAAACTGTTAGCATATTTGTTGTTAAATTAGTATACTAATATCAAATAGTAATTTTTAAATTAAATTTAAATTTAAATAAATAAAGAAAAAGCCATTTATATCTTAAAAATTTGTTGACCTATAATTGCTAATTAATGAAATCATCACAACCCATAATTTTTAAAAATATTTTGTTTAATAATTATGACTAATGTCATAAATACATACTTATTAACTGTATCTCTTCCGTGAATAATACTACTTTATTGATATTTTAATTAAAATAATATTAAAATAGTTTATTTGAAATTGAAATAAATTTTACTAATTTATCACAAGTAAATTGAGATATGCATCTAATCACAATTAATCTTAGTATATTTAAAATTAAAATAATTAAAAAATAAACATATAAATAATAATCTAATAAGATAAAACTAGTATTATTTGAACTTTTACATAATATAAATATTTGTTTTATCGAATTTTACAAAATTAATCAAAAATTGCTGATTGATAAATAAAATAAATGTATAAAACAAAATATGTTTTATACAATTTTTAATTATATTTACAATTATTTTTTTATTTAAAATTAATTAATTTTTATATTAAGAAATATTTAATTTTAACAGGTAAATAAAAACTTTTTAATTTTTTTTTTACAAATTTGAAATATAAATGAAGGCTAGAAATGATCATTTTTATTTTAAGAGTAGATTTTTATACAAATTTCCTTTGAGTCATAATATATTTATAATATAAAAATTGTAATTGCTTGATTGAAAATTTTTTAATGTGTTTTAAAAAGGTGTTAAGTAAATATGAGTCTTACAAAATTTAAACTTTACTCTATCTAAATTGAGTTGTCAACTCAAAGCAATGATTTTTCACAGCTGTTACTTTTCTATAAATGACATATATGAAATTTTTAAATGCATATAAATCTGTTTTTTATGTATTATATTTATCAATTCATCTTTTTGAGAACAATTTTAAACTATTTCACTACCTTATGATTATAAACAATAATTAGATTGATGTACTTACAAAATGAAAGAAAAAGTAAACATTTTGATTATTGTTTTCTAAAAAATGTACAATATGGAAAAAAACTATTAGTATACAAAAAAATGTATTATTAATAAGTTATTTAAAACCCATAACAAGTCAGTTTTCATCAATTTATAATTAATGTTTAACAATGTTTTCTCTAAAAACTTTGTTTAAACAAGAGAGAATGAGAACACATACACAAAACCAGCATAACGAAATCAAACCCTAGTATCTATGCATTCAGACATGACTCATTACAGACTGAGCTACCTTGCTATTTAAATTGAATACTTATTTATTTCTCAATGCATTTGATAGAAACAATAATTCTTTTAAGTTTTTTTTAAATTGACATTTTGATAAAACTACTCAAATAATTGGTATGTATTATTGTAATTAAAGAATTTTTTAAATTGAAAAACAAATTTAACAATAATAACTAGATTAAAAATTATAATTTTAAGATAATGAAACTGGCTTTAAATTAGATTAACATATACACAGTTTCAAAAAGTAAGAAAACAGGTGAGAATAAATAGAACAAATAACAAGAACAATAGAAACCTCTTTCCTTACTCATTGAACATTCTATATATAGATATTTAAATAAATACTTAATTTATTGAATTAAACATTGCATCATTAAATAAATCTGTTACCTGATAATTAAGGTAAACTGAACTAATAAATTAAAATACTACAACAGATTATTAAGAAAATATTAGGAAAGTATAGTAATTAACTATTCATTAACCTAATAAAATTCTTTTAATAATAAACATATTTTGCTAACATGATGATTATTTAAATAACTCAATACTCTGTTAAACTATCAAATAAATTCAATAAAAATTTAATTCAATGAGATGTGATAAGAGCCAGGAATGAGAAAATCAATAAGTTTTTATTCGTTAAATAAAATATATATAAAATACAAAAAAGGTAAATATTTCTTGAAAAATAACAATAATTTTAAACAGAATATAAAATTACTAGAACTAACTGTTTCAATAAATTTACATTTATCTAAAATATACTTGCATTATCACTTGTAGGTAATATTTCTACCAATAATTTGACTCACTGAGTAATTAAACTACTACTTGACACAAAAACAATATTTTTAAGAAAATTATTTAATAGCAAAAAATCTAATCAATAACAAACTTTTACTTTCAAATTCATTGTGCATTAGTAATTATTAATGTATTTGCTAAGATGGACTATTTGGGCATGTTTTTACAATGATTTAGCTTCAATGTTCTTAAACAATAAGCAAATCTCGGCTATAAGTATTATAAAGTTGTAAACTTTATAAAGTAAATTTTATGTTGTATAAAATTCGATGGCCATTAAGCAATAATTAATATAATACACGTGAGCTTACCTTGTAAGTTAACAATGATATCCACAATAGCATTGCGTCCGAATCAGGACATTTTGGCGATGGCAATCAATGCACAACGGAAATGTTAACAAACACGCACTGCTCAAAATTTAAGCAAAAAATTATAAAAATTAGTTTTTAGCTAACGCGTTGCACTCAACAATTAACACTTAACGTTCGTCGTGTGGCGTAAAACAAAGACAAGAGCAAATAATTATTGTCGGAAATGCGTTGACCGTCATCATCGTGTTTACATATACCGATCTGATCAATCACGACGATCGTTCCCGTTATTTCCAATGGACGGTTTTGAACCGGTGGTGGCGACCGCCGTCGACACCGAAACAGCAGCACAGCCAACGCCAAACGACGTCATGTTATCATCTCGTTTTCCACGCACATAAAACCATAACAACGGCTGTGATTTTACCGTACACAGTATTTCAATAATTCAAAACGTGATAAAAGCACCGAATAAAAAATTAATCACACAACTTAAAAAAATATAAAATTAACTAAGAATTACAAACACACGTTATATATCACGCTAAACTATTTGTTTTCTTGTTGCGAGTACGGACTGACAACAACGATAATACAGAAGAGTCGAATTACCGGAGGCGGATAACGCACACTGACGCACGCACAGTCACCGACACCGACACAAACTCAAACACGAGCGACGGCGCACGGCCGGATTCGACGGGTACGGACGAGAAACAACGCGGACACACGAACACACACACCAGTCGACTGCGCTCCGGCGGGTCCGCACTGTCAGCGCCCACAAATTTCTCAGCTTTATCGACCAGTCGGCGGCGCTGTTGCAACCGGCAACCGCCGCCGTGCACCTCACCCCACCACCCCCGCCCACACCATCGCATTCTTTTCTTTTTTTCTACTCTACCGTCCGTATATAATTCTTATTCTGTCGTACGCTCTTTTCATCCTTGTCTTTCCCACATTGAATTCGGTCGCTGACGCCGTCTCCGTCCCTTTTGCAGAACCACGACGCGGGCAACAGGTTATAACGTGCACGAGACGCCGGCTCATGTATGATTTCCAAGCGTTATATCACAGAATTTTTCAGGTAAAGATTTGAAAAAATATATCATTTAACGGCTCAATCAAATATTAAGGTCATTTCCGGTAGAAAATTAAAAAATATCGTGTAAACAAATTTTTATGTATAGGAGCATGTCTGTGTTTGCCGGTCGTATGGACAGACACAAAGGTGTGGTGTTCACATCGACAGCGGTCGAAGACGAAAACCCTGCGGAATTCCATTTGAAGCTGTCGAGTAAATTTTATAATACAAATTTTTTTTTTGTTCCGTGTATGTTCATTCCACTCAAGGACGTCTGTTCAGTGGTTCCCAAATGAGACTTACGTGTACAATTCGAATAGCGACAACGGGCCGTCCGGGTCCGTGTGGGACGGCCGGCAATTTTACAGCGACCGTTGAGGGATTCGAACGGCATAAGCTTAACGATTATTCATTTGTGTCCCTAAAACAGCGGGTCAACACACATGTGTGATGATGGAGATTATACGGCCAGTGTAGACGGTTGTTATTGGATCTCATGACCTGAAACCGGTTGCGGGTCGACCGCCGCGCGACCACTACGGGAAATGCGAGCGTTACACGAGTAGTCTCCCTTGACGATGACCGTTCCATGCAGTATACGCGTGCTTTTATTTCTCCGTCAATTCTTCCCCTTCACTCTTCGTCCATATGTTCTTTCACATTTTTTTTTTTTTTATCATTTATTACCATTAAACGCGCTACTAACATCATTTAACTATGTCAACACGCGGATAAACGACCTTCCGAATCTTTGAAAGATCATTTTCCTCATAACATAAAATATATACTTTTCAGTACTAACTGTACACACTCCGGCCGTGGAAACAAAAGTAAGGCGCGCTCATTAATCATTAAGCGTCACGTACTCAGAAAAATACAATAGTATTATGTATCAAATACAACTTACACTAGCTACACACAGATTATGACTCACAGTTCAAATAATAATTAATAATAAATAACGGCCCGTCGAGTTTAGTAAATTGTATTTTCAAGTGATAAAAAATTGTCTTTATTCTTAACTAACCTGTTCATTTTTCTTGTCTATTTTTGACATTTGATTTTCTTTTATAAGCAGTGTTATTAATACGAAAGGCACTCAAAGACTGCGAAAAAAACTATCGCTCTGGGAAAATGACTATTGAGATACCAAAAACAAAATTTTATAACCCCAACAATTCCAACTAATCGGTACTTCTCTGAAATTATAATTATCATACAGCCCATGAATAATATTTCAAAAACTAAATTATTTGTTTTTTCTTTTGATATTTTTAATGCAATATTTATTTTGAAGTTGTATAATTATCATGTACCGTAATATTTCAACAGCATTGGGAAGAAAACTGCCTTCATATTTAATTATTGGTAATTAATCTAGAAACTCAACCCAACGGCGTTAAAAATACAGAACATTATCTAAACAAACTGGTAACCACAATATTCTTGCTCTTTTGTAAGATCATGTCATAGGACGTTATAATTATGTTGTTAATTAATCAGTATGCCATAGAAACTGTTAGAATAAATTTTGAATACCCATAGTAGTCTTCTGCTTAGTAGACTACTATACCAAATGTGTAAGTACAATATTTAGGAACGATATAAATGAAATAATTTCTGATCTTTTTACTATTTTTCTGGAGATGGACTTATTCTGTGATATATATTCTTTATGCATTTTTCTGTGTCGATGAAAATAGGCCACTATCCAATTAACTTAAGAATGGGCTCTTGACATATTCGTTTATTATTATCAAAATTAAAACATTCATATTGCTAAAATAAATGGGAAATACAATTACTTCTGATATGCACTTTGTATTACTTAAGTAAATGAACTGCTATACGACTTTATTATCTCATTTATTGAAACAAAACTGTACATTCATATTCATATGATTTTCTAATGTATACGATTAACATATTTTTAACGGGTTGCATGTTTTAAATCACTAGAATAATTACTGCGTAACGTATGTGCAACTAAATGTAATAATGAAACTGTAATAACTAAAATAAAGTACTTATCACCGGAAGCACATTAAAAGTTACATAACATATACTTATTTTTTCGTTGCATTGATTATAAGCTCTATTTAAAATAATTATCATAATTCCTTATTTCTATGAAGTGATGTATTGGATTGATTTAATAATAATTTCACTCATTTTATTGACTAAAAGCATACAATACTAAAAAATCGTAAAATTTCGTGTTCTGTGTTATTTTTTAAAATTAGCTCCGTTTTAATTAGATTATAAAAAAGAGAAAATTGTGAAATTGAATTTCAAAATAAACTCAATTTAATAACTTAACAAGATTATTAATGTAATTAATTTAACATGATTATTATTTGCGACGGATTTTAATTATCAACAACTAAGTTATTAATAGATTACTTCGAGTAATTTGCATTTTATTAAAGTGCCTATAACACCTTTTAATGGCTGAAATTTCTTTGATTGCGTATTCTTATTTATCAAATACGAAATTAAAATCGGTAATTGTAAAAACCATACTTATCATAAAAAATGGCTTATAATGTTACTGAAATCGAGTTTTGTCGAAAATTATTGCTTCTATGAGTAATAATTTTCGAAATTATTAATAATTTATTGAACATAGTCAAGAATAAAAATAATAAAATGAAGGTTGGACAAATGGTTTTAACAATTCATGGTTTTTTGATTTTTTTTATTAGCTTAGAAAAACTCGTCTTGAAATAGTAATTAATCCACATTGGAAAAATTAACAATTTTATTTTTATTACGTGGACGTTTTGATTGTTTATTATAAAGAATTTTTCATGAACTATGAAACATTTTAAGAATACTCAAGATTATCGCTGTACTTCTCTAATTATAAAAAGAATCAGATTTGTTATCGATTAATTTATTTAAAAAAATAATAATAATAACACAATTTATCATGAACACGTGTGATTTGTTCAATACATGAAAATATTGGGCATGATTATACAAAAAAAGAAAATAGTTCAACATAAATATGATAAGAATTTTTACACATAACATGATCCATAGCAGTCGAATAAAAAACAAAAAGTAATAATTTTACCAAAAACGTGGTGACAAGTGTTGTGTTTATTTGCAATCATCGTTTTAAATGTCTTAAAGAATCAAATTCAAAAAATGTTGGTATTTCATTGAGTTCACTCCTATGAAAGTATATGAAAATACCAATAAGTAGTTGAGGGTTACTAAACAAATCATTCTATCATCAGCAAGTTTCCTTTGGAAATATTTTATTACTGAATTTAAAGTTTTGTTAAGTCTTGACTAAACTTTTAACTTTCAAGTACCTGACTGCAATATACTGTATACTCCACGCTAAAGTTGCCAATAAAGCTTATTTGTAATATATTGAAACGTCTATCCATATAACGCTGGCGTAGTCTTTATTACGAAACGAAGTCGTTGGAACGGAAAGTTCTTCGAACATAAGTTAGCGGTCGGGTAACCTCACAATTATTTAGCCAACACGCATTACTTGTTTCAAAAATAAACATGACTTATAGTTTTCTTCTATAAAAAGTGGGTAAAAATAATTGTTGATTTTATGTAAATAAGCGTTCAAAATAACACTGTAACATTTATCAAATATTTATATAAATCCCTAAGAAGTAAAAGAAATTTCTCATTTACTTTTGTATATATGTATAATAACAAAAAAGTTTGTAGACTTTGAGAAAAAATCTAAACATAAGTATAGTATATTTATATTTAGATTTTTTATATTATACTATGTTTTTTTTATGTTGGAATTTTTTGACATTTTTTCATTTAATTCAAAATTATTTTTACCCATTTTTTTTATGCATAAAACAAATTGGATTACGATTCTAAAAAAAAAAATATGGGCATTGGTGCATTGCATTTCATGATCAATTTGATTTTTCTTAATCAAGCAAACTATTACTTTAAATAGTAATCAATAATTTTACGCTCGAGTGTAAAAAGGGGAGAAATTGATTTCTTCGTGTTTAAGTCGAATGAAAAAAAAAAATAATAAATTTAATGTATCTTGATAACAAGTTCAAACACTACAAAATAAATATATATATATATATATATATTTGAACCCTCACCCTCCCGGAACGCATTACTCTTGTATAAAGCTATTTCAACAACTTTTAGCTGGAAAATCAAATAAATATTTTGTACTGTAGTTAGTATACACCTCTACCCCAAATGTTTATGTGTACACTTTTTATTTTATTTTTTCAAACTTCATAATCTACAGTTTTATTGAATAAACGAGCCTATTCTCTTGATAATTCCATGAAGATTTTTATGACCGTAAAAATCAGCTATGATATTTTAGACTGCAGTGTATTTTTAATATGTCTTAAGTTGAGCTGTCATAAATAATAACGTTTCTAAGCAGAAATCTGAACTATACCACTAATCGTTCAGTTGTAACGATATAATCCCATAATTACGTTGTAATTATTTTTGTCGATGAACTATGCGTTCCCGTAATTTGATTTCCTATCAAAACCAATACGTTATTACACTTTGATCTACCTTTTTTAACGCGTTGTTTTGTCTCGTGCGTTAAACATAGATGTTACTTTCTACACTATTGTACTACCTATAGAATGTTTAATAACGTTTGACGCGGTTATAAATTTCTTACGAAGACCTTATATTATATAACAGTATCTATATGGTTTTAGTAATTGATGTTTGAAGTAATTTTCGCAAAAATACTACCATGTCTGTTTTTATTGTCCGACCAATCATAAAATTTCAATGTTATCGACCCAAAAGATATATCAACTCAACTCGATGATTTTTTTTTTTAACTTACATACAAACAATCATTTTTGCCATTGAAATGCATTTACAATAGACAAAGGTTTCAAAGTGGGTTTGGCACATTATTGTCGTTTAATTGTTTTGTTATTCCAAGTGTCAGAAAACGACGTTTGTTGTCAATTGCGACCGTTACACTCGAGTAAAACAACAATTATGATAAATATATTTCGTGCGGCTACATTTACCGTTTATTTCTAAAAAATATTTCATCTTCAATCGTCTTCGTTACGTTACGACTTGTTCAAACAATTATGTACGCAATACTCTTTGGCGTGTATCTCGTCGTGGCACTTCCATGGCAGCCGATCAGCTTCTTCGTGAACGCAAAACGATACGCTAAATACACAAATAAGGTATGTGAAGACGGCGTG